GGGGACCCTGTGTAACAAAAAAAAGTTGAGCCTTCCTTTCAAGGACAAGTAGAAATAAAACATTCTCCCTCCGTATCACATCTTCCCACTTCCAAAGTGGGTGAGATTAAGAATAGTGAAATGGAGTATGAATTATTGAGGGTATGATGGGAAGATGGTGAAATAATGTGATGGAATGAAGGATAAATCCAAAAAAAGTAGGTGTAGTAGTGTATTATTTTTTAAATTATTAAGGGTATGATGGGAAGATTTAGAAATGAGAAGATATAAATGTTACATCCAAAAAAGGAAAGTGGGAAGATATGAATGTTACGGAGGGAGTAAAACAGAAGATAATAGTACTACATTCTTTTTTATTAGTCCTTTTTCCTTTTGAGACGTTTTATTTTATTTGTCCTTTCCATTTAAGGAAAGTTTTTACTCTAAATATACATTTTTACCACAGCTTTTATTACCATTACCCCTTTCTCTTTCCTACTTTTTCATTTACCCACTACTCATTACGTACACCTTTTACACTACCCCTACTACTTCCTTCTTAAAACTCGTGCCAAAGCCTAAGAGGACTAATAATAAAGAACGGAGGGAGTAATAAATTACTGATAATTTATGTTTTTTATTTTTGAAATCCTGATAATTTATGTCAGAATACAGGTTAGGAATGAACATAAATACATAATAGTAAAAATAAAAGTATTCAATAATAAAATACATTTCACTTAAAAAGAGACATTCTTTGAGCGTATATAAATGCAAAGTCATCTACTGAAATTTCAATGTCATGTCATCTTTTCTTTTTAAGCTTCTCATATCCGGATGAGTTTCTTTAGAAACATAGTTACTACCAATTATTGAAATCCTTCACTAAACTTGTACACATTTACAAATTTTAAATTAAAAGTTAATTTATATTTTGAATTGATGACTATAAATTATAAACCCAAAAAAATACTTATAAACTATTAATGTATTAGTGTAAACAATTTCAATATTAACAACCTAGTGACATATTTATACCAATTTTCAGACAAAATTAGTTTAATTACGTAATTACTTAATTAAATTAACATCATCCTAATTTGTTAAAAACTATAATAAATTACTCAGGCCTAATAAATAAATTAAAATAAGCAAATCGATCACATAATAATCAGACGATTAACAATACAAAAGATATTAAGAGAAAAGTCAGAATATCTTAAGAATTAGGAAATTAATACTCCCTCCATCACACTTTGGAAGACACATTTTCTTTTTTCATTGTCCAAAAAAATAGGAACACTTCGGAAGTTAGAATTATAAAGCAATCACTCCATCCTTTATTTGTTGTTTTCCTTTACTTTTTTTTTTGAAACCCGCACCAAACTAACATTTTCTTTTTTCATTGTCCAAAAAAATGGGAACACTTCGGAAGTTAGAATTATAAAGCAATCACTCCATCCTTTATTTGTTGTTTTCCTTTACTTTTTTTTGAAACCCACACCAAACTAGCATGTATGCTAGTTTATGTTCTTTTGCTCCATTAACCATTTCTAACTCTTTTGATCTGTTTTAATGATAAAAGTTTGACCAAAGAGATATTGTTCCCATTTTTGTACAGCAAATACCACTGCCAGCAGTTCTTTTTCGTAAACTGAGAGATGCTGCCCAGTGATCTACTAATGAATGCCAAAGGATGTCCCTCCTGCATTAAGACCGCTCCAATCCCTTTATTAGACGCGTCAGTTTCTATTACAAACTGTTTTTCAAAATTAGGGAGTGCTAACACTGGGGCTGTACTCAAAGCATGCTTCAAAGTTTCAAATGCTAGAGTAGCTTCATCAGACCAAGTAAAGGCTCCCCTTTTTAATAGATCTGTGAGAGGCTTTGCAATGTTAGCATAACTCCTAATAAACTTCCTATAATAGTCTGCTATGCCCAGAAAGCTCCTCAGCTGCTTTATGGAAGATGGAGTTGGCCATTTACTTATTGCGTCAATTTTCTTGGAGTCTGTCTCAAGCCCCTTTTCTGAAATATAATGCCCTAAATACTCCACTTTCTCTATACCAAAAGAGCATTTGCTTTGTTTGGCAAACAATTGATGTTGTCTCAATACTTCAAAGATCTGCTGAAGATGCCTTTTGTGACCTTCCACATCACGACTATATATGAGGATATCATCAAAGAAAATAAGAACAAACTTTCTGAAAAAATCCTTAAAAATATGGTTCATGAAGCTTTGAAAAGTAGCAGGTGCATTAGTTAAGCCCAAAGGCATAACTAAAAACTCAAAATGGCCATAATGAGTTTTGAATGCTGTTTTACACACATCATCTGGATGTACTCTTAACTGATGGTAACCTGCCTTTAAATCAATTTTGGAAAATATTCTTGATCCAGCCAACTCATCAATTAATTCATCAATTAGTGGAATTGGGAACTTATCTTTAACAGTCTGTTTATTGAGGGCCCTGTAATCTGTGCACATTCTCCAATCCCCATCCTTCTTAGTTACCAATACAACAGGTGAGGCATACGGGGAAGCATTGGGTTGAATAACATCTTTATCCAGGAGTTCTTTCACCTTTTGCTCAATTATATCCTTCTGCTTCAAGGGATACACCGTACCTGTAGGGTCTCACATTCACAGGTTGTGAACCTTCTTTAATTGGTATCCTATGATCAAATACACCTCTACTGGGAGGCAAACCCTGAGGCTCCTTAAAGATATCATTATATTGCTCAATGATTGCATTCAAACAGTCAGGAGTTCTTCCCTCAGCTACATTTACTTTCAATTGATGCTCCATATCATTACTATCATCTTGTGTTGCTTCTGGTTGTAACTGTATAAGATATAATTGAGTGCTGTGTTGAAGTTGCTTGGTTGTCCCTCTTACAGTTTTAAGTTTTCCAGGTTTCTGGCCTCTCAACACCACCTGTTTGCCTTTGAAATCAAATTTCATAGGAAGGTCTTGAAAATTCCAAGTAATATCTCCCAAAGTACATAACCATTGTACTCCCAACACCATATCATATGCTTTAAGTGGTAAAATCAGAACATCTGAAACAAAGTTAGTGTTCTGCATCCTCCATGTCAACTGTTTGCACATACATTGACATTCCCCCTGAGGTCCATCAGCTACTGCCACTGACAATGGTGAAATGGACTATAAACCCTAATTTTCTGGCCATTGTGGTACTCAAGAAATTATGAGTACTTCCTGAATCAATCAAGATTAAAACCGATTTTCTGCCCTTATACCCAGTTATTCTCATGGTTTTAAAGTCTGCATACCCATTTATAGCATTGAATGAGATCAAGGGTTCCATATCTGACATATCAAATCTGGTATTGGAATATTCTTCCATTACTTGATTCTGAATTTCATCCTCTTCTGTACTCAACTCATCTTCACAGCCTGCTACTTCTACTAGGAATAACTGAGTACCTTTATAATCACAATTGTGATCCTTACTGAAAGGTTGGTCACAATAATAACACAAACCTTTAGCCCTTTTTTCTGCCCTCTCAGTTGCTGATATAAATCTTCTAAGAGCTGTCAGTGCAAGTATTTTTGAAGTACTTGGAATATTAGACGATCCTTTCAAAATGGGGGTTGGCAATAAGGGCTTGGATGCAAGATTTTTGTAGGAGTTGGCAAGTTTAGTGACTTGAGTAGTTAAAGCTTCAATTGTATCCTCCTGAAGCCTTGCAAATTTTATTGCTTCTGCCATAGTTGTAGGATTAAAGGCCTTCACAAAAGACTTAACTGGAGGTTTCAAAGCTGCCATAAAACAGTCTAAAAAGTAGTCATCAGGCAATTTTGGATTTCTTTGCACCATAAGAGCTTTAAGATTTTCAAATTTATCTATAAACCCTAATGGCCCATTCTGTTTTAGGTTATTGAACCTTTCAACCACCTTATTCCCCATATTATCATTGAACCTGGCAGCAATATCAACAACAAATCGTTTCCATTCTAACTTCTTTTTAGAAAAAATATAATTTCCAAACCAATTGGCTGCTCTACCCTCAAGATATAGTGAAGCCAGATTAACTCTTTGTTTATCAGGAATGGTACACAGTTTAAAGTATCGCTCACATTTCTGAATCCGGATTTTTATATTTTGTCCATCACAAGAAGGAAATTCAACTTTAGGCATAAACATGTATGAAGGTTGAGCAGATGAAGAAGATTTTCCAGAAATATCACCCTCTTCTTCCGATGAAGATTCACCCCCCTTGTCCGAGTTGTATTCATCTTCTTCGTATTCTACCAGCTTGGCCTTCTTTCTCTGCAAATCTACCACTTTCTTCATAACTTTGGATAACATATCCATCATCATTTTGTTCTGATTTTCCATCTTCTGATCAAAATCCACTTGTATTAGCTTTAAAGCTTCCTCCATATCAGTAGACGAGCCCCTAGTTTGAACCATCGTCCAGCTTATTTGTTCTTCAACATATCACCGAATTACTTCCTCGTTTATTTTTACACGCCTGAGATCGGGAGCTCTGATACCAATGTTACTGTCCAGGAAATCTCATAAAAGAATGAAGAAAAGAATTCGAGAACTAGTAAACTAGGCTACTATAGAGAGATTAAGGGGAAGGAATGTAGTAGAAGAATGAATAGATTTCTCATTAGTTTCCAGTCTGTATAAGTCTTGGCCTTATATAGGCATTTTGACCGACTAACAGTTTTATTCAGTTAACTATTCTGTTAACTAACTAACTAACTGAATACAACTATATCAGGAACCTTACCTGGTTCAACACTTCAGAAAGCGTTGCGAGGAATACTGCAGGAGTGGCAGCGTGGCAGCGTGGTGGGCTGGCGGCGTGGCGGGCTGGCGGCGTTTAGAATCGTCCCTTTGTGGGCTTGTGGCTTTGTACCGGGTGGAAATCTGTCTTTCTACTCTTATTTAGTTTTCTTGCACATGGGATATTGGGCTGCCTAATACCACTGCTACTTTATTGGGCCTTAAATATTTAGTTGTCGTGTGTAATAGGGACGTGACAAAGCCCAGCAACAGTAGATACACTCATACGCAACCGCACTCTTTTCGCTGGAACTGCGTTTCCCCCCTTTCGGTGAATTCTACGGTTTCAGCACATTCGATTCGGAGCTCTCCTCTTCTTCGCCGCCGTTTCGAGCTTCTACCAGGTATCGTCTTCCGTGCTCCATCTCCATACTTCGTTGTTTCCATAAATTCATCTCAAACAAAAATGAAGTATTGCTTCAATATGAATTTTAAGAACTACGGACGAAATTTCGTATATGGAACACTGCTCTACATTTTTATTTCCACGCTCAGTATTTTTCAAAGTTTCTCGGCTATGTAAATGTGTCATGCGTGTGCAATTTTTCAGAATTTTATATCACTAAAATTTTCATTGTGTTACTTTTATTATGCTCTATTACATTAGTTTTGTTTCTTAGGACAACTTGTTTATAAAGAGATGCTGGATTGGCGTACTGGTGTTTAAAAGTGAACATGTTTTAGTTAAACTGCTATAGTTTGAACAATAACTCCTTCACCCCTTCAATCCTTGGATGTGGTTAAATTTTAAAAACTTCGAACTTTTTTTTTTCTTAGTGGATAAGTTTCGAAAATTTAGATGTTTTTATGGGCATGGTTCACTATTCACTAGGTATCCACATTGATATAATCAGAATTTTGGAATACATAATTAGCTGCACTACTCCCACTTCCCACATTTAATTGGAAACAGCTCAAGTCAAACACCAAAGCAAATTATAAGAACTTTGAAGGAATACATTAGCAACCAACATAGGTACTCTTATTGGTGAATGTGTGATAATGTTTCTCCAATCTGTTTTGGCAGCAAATTAGGACCTAATTCGTTGAATGTCCTTAGCTCATGTTTCTTTCTGGTAATGTCATTTACTAGCCTATCATGGATTTTATGTTAGTCAATTGTGGGTACATATGGTTAATTTTTTTTTGAATATATATAATGTTTTTCTAATTTTGGAATACATATATGCATACATATATATAATGTTCGTGAAATTTGCAACTTGGTGAGCTTACGGGTTTCTGTTAATTCGTTTATTTATATTATGCATAATGTTATCTGATACGTGTTGAATGGTACCTGCTTGTCATTTTTTCGCAGGTCTTCTCATTCTTCAATGGCTGATCATTTCAAGGTGTTTGCATTGGGATTTCTGTTAGGATGGGGCCAAAGGCTGATCATGCATCTGTGGAGAAGTGTAATGTTTTTCGTGTCCCTATTAGTCATTCTTTTGTTGTATTAGGGCATCTCCAATGGTAGAGTGGATTGAACTAAGGGCCATCCTATGTTTTATATGAGAGAGATAAAGATAAGATGATTATCTTAATTTTAAATAGAGAAAGTGGTGTGTAGGGAAGAATAAAAAAGATGAGAAGGACAGAGATAAATTGTAGACTTAGGTTGAGAGGAAGTTCACATATGGACTGACCTTAAACACGATTTGAGGACAAAAATAGATGAATAGTGGGTACAAGTGATATAAAAAAAATTGAAATCAAAATAAAGTTGGAAATATATGGATCCTACACATAAAAATTGTGAGATAAAAATGGAACTCATGTGTGATAATGTGTAAGAGTCAACACCCACCCATTGGAGATGCTTACTATAGACTGATTTGGTGTTTATTCAGTTTTATGGTTTTGTATATGCTTATTTACTAACTTCCCCTTATTCAAGAATTATACTACTACCTAAACTCAACAAAGGATAAGTCAACGAAGGAATTTGTATATTCATCCCCTAAACTCGTTTGTTTTATTCCTAAAAGAATAATTAAATAAAGGAATTTGTATATGTATATGTATTTGTATTAATGTATATACTTTATACAAGTATATAGTACTATAATTATATATATATTACGGAGTAATATATATAGTAGTAAAAATATTCTATATAATACTAATATATTTTTAAAATATGATGCCCGATAATTAGTGGGGTCAAGTGACTCATAACCTAATTAACCTCTTATTCTCCAGCCACGTATGAAGTTATGATACTTTATCAATTATAATTATTTAAGAAGTAATTATAATTTTTTGAGTTAAAGTCATTCAATGAATATATACTAGGACCGATGTTAAGATCCACCAAGTGTCCGAGCCCCTATTGATCCGCGTTAGGATCTCAAGTTTAACCAGCATGATGCTATGAGTTAGCATGTTTATAACTGGATTGAATTTGTTTGGCATGGACTGAAATTCAGTCACTGAATTGGTCTGGTTTGGCATGATAGATGCTTATTCTATGTGTATATTACAATGGTCAAAGTCTGGTTGTTTTATCCTTAATGTTTTATTCTTTTTTTTTCTTCTTACAGCGCAAGCCTAAATCTCCAATTGAAGCAGAATTGTCAGCCCTTTCAGAGGAGTTTGGAAGAGACCTTCGAGAGTTGGCTAAAAAATATCGTGGCCTGGAGGATCGCAATTATGGTCGTGAATTAGTAGAGCTCTATACAGAGTACACTCGTAAAGTAGTGCCATTAGAGAGGGCTCTCTTTGGACAGGACGAGAGGTAGAGATGTTGAACCTGTAATGGATATGGGTTAGGCCTGGCAAGTAAGAGGTAGGGCTTGTATTTATATGTTTAGGTCTGACGGTTGAGCATAGATTGTTATCTACTAAGACCTGATTTTGATCTGAATCTAACCAGTTTAAAAGTTATGTTTGGCATGAAGCTTTTTTTTTTTTTTTTAAATATGTCTAAAAAAATAAAAAGTAGTAATCCTCTTTTAACACGATACTAAGTTTATCTTCAAATTAGTCACTAATCCAATCCATGTGTTCTTAGTCGATTGGATTTTTGGCTTCTAAATCTTGAGAAAATGATGCAAGCGTAGCTAAGCTCAAACAGTCAAAAGTGGATTGGATCTGACCAAGGGCGTTCCATAAAATCTGTCTTAAAAGTGGAGCCATTGAGTTCACTCAATCGGTTATATATTGTAGAAGTCGATTTTAAAATTTGGTAAACATGATTTTTTCATGGTTGTACAAGGAAACCCCTTCAGGATTGGGCCAGCCGCCAGCCACGTACCACACTGCTGTTTGAGTTCATGGTGAACTTCGTGCCGCTGTCTGAACTCCATGCTGCCTGAATTATGCCGCCGCTGCCGCCGAAAGCGGGAATTCCACCACCGGTCACTGCCACTACTACTGGACTGATGCACCACCAACAAAATTCATTCAGTCGGTTATAGTGTACATTGAAGAAGTGCAAACATAGAAGTGGATTTTAAAATTTGGTAAAGATGATTTTTTCATGCTTGTACAAGGATACCCTTGCAGGGTTGGGCCAGCCACCATGCTGCCGTTTGAGTTCATGGCGGAGCGCGTGCCGCTGTCTAAATTCCGCCGCCGCCGGACGCAGGAATTCCACCACCGCCGCCGCCATTGCTACCGGACTGACCCGCCACTAATGAATTGAACTTGGTTATGCATGACTCCTATTTAAAGAAACAGAGTATTTTACTCTTATTTTTGTTGATAGAATATTGTACTCTGACAATTACTTTTATATATACGATGTCAAGCCTAAGCACCTAGCTGTTGAATGAAGTGTTTCAAACTAGGGCGGACTCTGTTAAAAAACAAATATTCCTCTGACTATGAAAAAGTTTTGGACTTTGTTAGGAAGGATTTTGCTAGGTGTACACAAATTGTGTACACCTTTGGCACACCATATAAAAGGCTCCCCATATTTTTACCCCAACTTTTTTTCCTCCTCTCCTTCAGCTACTCCCCTCCCTTCTCGTACAATCTGTTCGCCCCCCTCTTTCTCGCTGAGCTCAATCTCTCAAAGCTCTGTTGTAGATAACCTCGCTCAGTCTGCGTATTCCCAGACCTAGCCCGGCTCCAGACCAGTCCGACACTAGTGCAAAATACATGTTCTATAACTAGTCTTTCATATGGGGTAGCTAAGAACCGTAATAGTAAGTAGGAGCGGGGTCTATTTCATAAATAATTAAAGGTTCATGTCACTTTGACTGGTACAAATTGAAATTAAAAAAGTTATTCTATAACGGTTTTAAGAAACACTGACATCAAAAGAAAAAACGGGGTTATATTTATAATTTTATGAAAAACAAATTACATTCGGGGTCTTTTTTATGAATTTGAAGAATACAATTTTTTACGTCCGTTCTTTTTGAACCCTTGTGGAAAGATTTTACGGAGTATTTCTTTGTCTAGCCCAGCTTCGCTTGAGAGAAGCTACACAAAAAACATAACCCTAGTTGGCTGAACCGCTGAAGACACTCCTGGACGCCGCCGCCTCACTATCGCGGCTCCACCATCGCGGCTCCACCATCGCGGCTCCACCATCGCGGCTCCACCATCGCGGCCTCACCATCGCAGCTCCACCATCGCGGCCTCACCATCGCAGCTCCACCATCTCGGCCTCACCATCACGGCTCCACCGTATCGTCGCTCCACCATTGTCGCTCCGCCATCGCCCCTCCTCGATCTTCGCTCCTCCATCGCCGCTCCACCATGACGCTCCACCACCCTACTTGCACGTGCATCCTTAGCTGCCAGAGTGTTCCATCTCCTAGCGCCTCTCTACCATCCATTGCGGTAAAAATACGATTCTTTGCCATGTGTGTACATATCAAACGAAGCATGATAAATTTCAGCATAATAGCGTTCAATTATACTAGATAATAAACGAAGCATTATAAATTTCAATTATAATGGAATGATTTGATTGTACTAAGTAAATCAACTGTAAGATGGCTACTATGAGCCGAGTCATTTTCACACTCATACTAGATATTTAACAAATTGCACTTCTAGTTCTATTTTGTAAGTGTTTTTGTATTGGGTTTGTGAATTTACTCTAAAGTTAGATTTTGTCTAAAAAATTATTAGTACTTTTAACTTTTACACTGCTGAGTTCCCCTGAGTATAATTTTTTTTTTAAAAAGCCTTAAACTTTCATAAAAATTTGCCTTCAAAATCTCTGTCTTATTAGATTAGAAATTAAAGAGAAGAGATGGTTAATTTTAAATATTGTCCAATGATCTCTCGACTCTTATTTTTTTCAAAGTGAAACATTTTTGTTATATTTCCCACCCTAACAATTAGATACCAAGGTGTTCTCCATTATTCTGGAACTATTACTAAGGAAAAAGGAACATGAGCTCCTTTTTAAGGTAACATTATTGACCTTATGTAATAAGTTGGATGTTTTAGAAGTTTTACTCATTGGTGTGATTATTCATTGTAGGAGATGGAATCAAAGGGCTCTATTATTATGTGATGCTGGTCTCATTTTTTTTGGATTGCTAGAGAAGATAAAACAGCTTCATGTCCAAGTAAAAAAACAAAATCTATTACTTATTTATGCTCTAAAAATTCTTTGCTGCCAAGAGATGATATGAAATGAGGTATAAAGGAATACAGGATGAAACTTGTCAAGAAGTTAACAAAGAAGTGATTGAGATGCTATAGGGTTGAGGAATGATGTTTGGAATGAAGTGAGGTACTTGTATATATTTGTCTTGTACCATTTGTAATAATCTCTTCTTTAATTTGTGTTTATAATCTTACTTGCATCACTTATGGAAATAGTTTTTGCAGCTAGTACGTGAATTGCCATTTCACACAATGTTGAAATCAGTTTCTTTTCATTTAGATTGTTAGAGCTCCGTTGTTTATACATAATACATTGCTCAAGAGTCACCAGTAAGTAATAGTTTGGATATAATACACGAACACTGTATGAATAGCTATTGCTTTTGGATATAATACGTTAAGGATAGTGTATTTCTCTTGTAGAAAATTTTTGGTCTCTTTAAGCACCTAAGTGTTGTTTTATGTCTTTCACTGAACGTTCTAACTCTATTCCTAGAGGGGAAAAAATAAAAATCTGTGATGATGCTTGTTGGGTTAATGGCCCAAGTAGAAGTTCGGCCCATTTACCCTTTTATTCGGACGGACGTCCGGACAAAATTGGGTAGGCTAAGCTGACAGGCAACTTGGAAGGGACGCACGTTGTCACCAAAGCCTGGGTTTACCCGCCATGTCGACGAACGTCTACGCAGTCAACAAGGAGCAGGCCCACAGGCTGCCAGAATGACGACGAACATCGTCAGAGCAAGCCCATAGCCGTTGGAGGCAATCCAATCCACATGGCAAAATCCCCCAAGGGCCAGGGGACGAACGGCCCAGTACCCTTTGCGAAACCACCAGGAGCGACTCACCTCCCCAGCTGGACGAACGTCGTCACTAATTAGGCGGGAAACCTAGATTCTGGCGGGAAGTGCATTTAATGATGAAGATTTGGTGGTTGAGACACCAGCCATCCACAGTCCTCCACGTCAGCGTAGCCAACTGCCCATTGGTGGTATAAATAGAAGCATTTATTTCATTGTAAAGGGTTAGCAACTTTCTATTCTTAGCACTCTAGCTATAACATCCTTACTCACAGCACTTCTACTGCCTTGTAAGACGAACGGCCGACGAGCCTTAGCGAAAGTATCGTATTAGGGAGTTATTAACAGATAATAATAATACATAATCACTTACTTGCTATTTCCTGTTTCCCTTGATCCATCGCACTTGTTAGTTGGGCTAGTTTATTCACACACTTAATCCACTCGAAACTCTTGGGCTTACGTGTTGGACCCGAGGGTTGAAGGAATAAACCTCAACAATGCTTATAGTTTACATGTATGGTATGTAATATTAATTCACCTATAGATTAATTTGGAGTCTCGAATGTTAAGGAAGGCAGAGTGTGGATGCTATGTTATTAGACATATTTGGAAATTTGCTTTTACGTATGCAGATGATTATGATTCATACATGGTGGTAGTAACGTTTTACTTATATTTATATTTTACTTATCCTTCTACCTTTTTTACTTGTGCACTTGTACATGTTTTACTTATGCTTACTTTTTCTATTGAATTTGTAGGTTTTCAATGTTCAGGATCCATTATTCATTCAATGTAACAAGATGCAAGAGCAGTGGGCATCCTCTGACATTACCTGCATTTTGTAGTATTTTTATTCTATTTTTATAAGCATGTCTTAAAATGCTATGTAATTTTTGTTGAATACTTGGAAACTATGATATCTAGTGGGATTGTGGAAATATTGTATTCCGTATTTTTAATTAGCATGATTTATAATATGCAATTGATATGATTTTGTTATGTTGGCATTTTTCTTGATATTGAATTGCATTTTAAAAAAATGGATGTAACAACGGAGATAAAGACGAAAAAATCATTTCGTTTATTTGTCAGAAGAAGAATATAAAACAGATCTGTCCACTTTAAAATTTACATTCAATAACGGTTAACTTGCAGACCACGTTGAATGTGTAATTCGTTCATATCACATTTCATAACGGTTCCTGTAATAGCCGGTATTGAAAACTTTCCGTAACGGTGCCTACACCCCATATAAAAGGTGTCAACTTTTAATGTCGACGGGATCTATGTCGGGTCTAGAACCGACATTAAAAGTCGATTTTAACCGACATAGAAAGCTTTTTTTCCACTAGTGCGACCACCACTAGTCACCGCCCGAATTCACCGCACTTCAGCCCTAATTCGAACAAGTAGCCACCACCAGTCCACCACAAGAGGCGACCCTGTAGAGAGGATTTTAAGGGTTATCGATCCATATGGTAAAAATCTTTGGCTATTAATTCTCATAACTACGTTACCTCATTAATTTCTACGTAGGTTTGAAATTATGAATATACGAAGTATGTAGTATATTATTATTGTTGAGATTATCCGTTAGCGGGCATTAAATTATCAATAAAATGTGCAGGTATACATCTTCTTTTATATTGTTATTATACTATGTATTATTATGTACGTATATAAGTATTGGGTTTAAAATCTAACATAATTAAAAAATGACACTTTTTCTATGAGTTAAAATTATTCTTTGCAAAATCACTTTTGTAATTATCATAAAAATTCCACTTCTGTCATTGAAATAGTTTTATCCGAATAAAATGTCACAAATGTTAGAATTTTATCTAATTTACTTAAGTTCTAAAAGTGTCATGTTTGTAAAATTTTATCTGACAAATAAAATTATGCATTTTATTTTATTTAAAATTTTCGGAGTGTCACATTCTAACCTCCTTAAAAGATGCTTCGTCCCGAAGCATAAGCTATTGTCTAATTTCAATGATATAAAATTCTAAGTGTTACATTCTACCCCACTTAAAGAGAAGTTACGTCCCCGTAACTACACCCGTACCTTAGTCAAATAACTTTGGATAGCATTTGCGCATATCGTCATTGGTCTCCCAAGTATCGATCTCCCAAGTGGCGTTTTCAGCCAGGTGGTTTGACCATAACACTTTTACCATCTTAACCGTTTTTCTTGTAGTCTCACAATTCTCTCAAGTACTAAGTTAATCATAAGGTCTCTACGCTATCTTATATAAATCCTCCAATTCACTAATTCCATACTTAAGTCCTAACACACATAAGCATTTCAAAGATGCAATCAAACTTCACATATTTCACATAAGCACGTAATTCTAGGAATTTCACAACTCAATAATAAAGATCAATAGCTTTAAAGTCTCACGTCCTCACCTCGTTCCTAATACATCTTTTCCTAGTCATTTTCATTTCCTAATTTTTTTATAACAAAA